AGCTTAGTTTTGCATTATTGCACTATTGACTCTATCCTGCCCCCAAGAGGCACAGCGGTATGTCTGCGGACTTACAACGCTAGAAACCGGGTTTCGATACCCGTGGTGGGCAGAGCACAGATAGTCCATTGTGGAGCTGTGTGCTAAATTCCAAACAAAAAAGACTATCCTAACTGCTCGCCCCCTCCTTCCCAAGATCATTTGCGCCCCATGGAGCACGTGCCCCACACTTTGATAAACGCTGGCATAAAGTTTCCTGTAGAATATCAACACGAACACAAACTTCTATTTCAGGACACTAATGTGTAACAAAGATGTGAATTATATCGTAAATATTTACAGGTTTATTTCGAATTTTTTTAAAGAAACTTTGATAAAATACTGATTCATCATACGTTTAAAATATCTAATACGTACAAAAGTATACACAAAAACTTTGTTAACATAAACGATTTTTTGTGTGTAAAAATGTTTACTACTGAAACGATTGATAAAATACCTTGTGAACATTTAAATAAGAGATACCTATTTAATATTATTCGAATTGAAGTGTGTAAATATCCTGTTGTTTGTTTACTTTCATAGGTAAATATTCTTATGTTATTAAGAGTCAACAACAAGTCATCCATAGGGTATACCCACAAACACAATTAATGTTTTAAACCTATTTCTTTACTTTAACGACTATGTTCATCCTTAGTAGTTTACAAGTTTACTTGTTCTTACTGTCAAAAAGGGTATTTTGGTTCAATGAAAACAACATTAATAACACGTATAAAAGAACGGTCAAATTTTAGATCACCAACCAAATATAGTATAGTAGAACATGCCCTAAGACATTATGACGTAGTCGTCACATGTACTTTGTTTATCTTATCTACGACCAATCATGAAAGAAGTCTCACTATATAAAAGATCGTTGTTAGATTAGTAGGTAGATTACTATAAAGGTTATGAATAGGCAAACAACTAAATACCATCACTATATCTAGACATTTACACTGCTGGATACCATCACTATATCTACACATTTACTCTACTGGATACCATCACTATATCTAGATATTTACACTACTGGATACCATCACTATATCTACACATTTACACTCTACTGAATACCATCACTATATCTAGAAATTTACACTCTACTGGATACCATCACTATATCTAGACATTTACAGTACTGGATACCATCACTATATCTAGACATTTACACTACTGGATACCATCACTATATCTACACATTTACACTGCTGGATACCATCACTATATCTAGAAATTTACACTGCTGGATACCATCACTATATCTAGACATTTACACTGCTGGATACCATCACTATATCTAGAAATTTACACTACTGGATACCATCACTATATCTAGACATTTACACTGCTGGATACCATCATTATATCTAGAAATTTACACTACTGGATACCATCACTATATCTAGACATTTACACTACTGGATACCATTACTATATCTAGACATTTACACTACTGGATACCATCACTATATCTACACATTTACACTCTACTGGATACCATCACTATATCTAGAAATTTACACTCTACTGATATAGTGATGGTATCCAAAGACATTTACACTACTGGATACCATCACTATATCTAGACATTTACACTACTGGATATCATCACTATATCTAGACATTTACACTCTACTGGATACCATCACTATATCTTGACATTTACACTACTGGATACCATCACTATATCTAGACATTTACACTACTGGATATCATCACTATATCTAGACATTTACACTGCTGGATACCATCACTATATCTAGACATTTACACTGCTGGATACCATCACTATATCTACACATTTACACTGCTGGATACCATCACTATATCTAGAAATTTACACTATTGGATACCATCACTATATCTAGACATTTACACTGCTGGATACCATCACTATATCTAGAAATTTACACTGCTGGATACCATCACTATATCTACACATTTACACTGCTGGATACCATCACTATATCTAGAAAATTACACTACTGGATATCATCACTATATCTAGACATTTACACTGCTGGATACCATCACTATATCTACACATTTACACTGCTGGATACCATCACTATATCTACACATTTACACCACTGGATACCATCACT